GAAGTGATTGGGAAAGGTAGCTATGGTGTTGTTGCATCTGCAGTTGATACTCACACTGGTGAGAAAGTAGCTATTAAGAAGATCAATGATGTCTTTGAGCATGTCTCCGATGCCACAAGAATTTTAAGAGAAATTAAGCTCCTTCGGCTGCTACATCACCCTGATATTGTAGAAATAAAGCATATAATGCTACCCCCTTGCAGACGAGAATTTAAGGATATATACGTTGTATTTGAGTTGATGGAATCTGACCTTCATCAAGTTATAAAGGCAAATGATGATCTCAGTCCCGAGCATTACCAATTTTTCTTGTACCAGCTTCTTCGAGCTCTGAAGTATATACATACAGGTTTGATACCCTTTTATTGTACCACCATAGAATTTCCTTCGGTTTCACATATTCTATGGCGCTGATGGATTCTTTTTTTCTTTTTGCAGCAAATGTTTTCCATCGAGATTTAAAGCCAAAAAATATACTTGCTAATTCAGACTGCAAACTGAAAATTTGTGACTTTGGGCTTGCTCGTGCAGCATTTAGTGACGCTCCATCTACCATTTTTTGGACTGTATGTGTAATTATATGGGAAAAATAGAAGTTGTGGATTGCCATTCTAGTAATCGTTAGCTTTTTTAGCTTCCTTTTCTTTGTTAATGCTGAATTCTTTTTTCTACCTTTTTCAAGGATTATGTGGCAACTCGATGGTACCGTGCTCCTGAACTCTGTGGTTCCTTTTTCTCCAAGGTGAGAGTGTAAAGATTATATTACGAGATTTTCAGCTTACAGTGATATATGAATAAGTAGTGATATGATTACATGATTTAGGCATATGAGAAACAAGTGTATAAAATTTATGATAGAACTAAACCCTTTGAGATTGTGGCTAAGCATTTTGTGACCTGTATTTTGCAGTACACCCCTGCTATTGATATCTGGAGCATAGGGTGCATATTTGCAGAAATGCTAACAGGAAAACCGTTGTTTCCTGGGAAAAATGTTGTACATCAATTGGATCTCATTACCGATTTACTCGGCACTCCTCCTGCTGAATCTATTTCAAGGGTTTGTTACCTCTTTCTGTCAATTTCATTTGTTATTAGGTTACTATTATAAAAACTTAATCAAAGTCAAGTGGTTGCGTCTTTGGACTTGGTTAAGATCTTGATCACCAATCGTGTGGGATATCTTAATGACTGCAGATTCGGAACGAGAAGGCCAGAAGGTATTTAAGTAGCATGAAGAAAAAGAAACCAGTTCCTCTCTCGCAAAAAATCCCGAATGCAGATCCATTGGCTCTTCGTTTACTTGAGCGTTTGCTTGCATTTGATCCTAGAGATCGTCTTTCTGCTGAAGAGGTAAGATTTTAGTGAAAACAACTGTTTGCCATAATTTCATTTCTTATGTTTCCCAATAAAGGTCATTGCTTTCTTTTCAGGCACTAGCAGACCCATATTTTCATGGATTGGCAAATGTGAACCAGGAACCATCTAAACAACCCATTTCAAAGCTCGAGTTTGAGTTTGAAAGGAGTAAATTGACAAAAGATGATGTAAGAGAGCTAATTTACAGAGAGGTATGACTATAGTTAGTGATGCTTTGCTTCAGTGCATTATTCTTCACTTCTTGTTGTTGGTAGTTTTCTTTCCTTACCATCTACTCATGGTGAACGTTCTAAAGCATTCAGATTTTAGAGTATCATCCGAAGATGCTGCAAGATTACCTTCAAGGGTCAGATAATATTGGCTTCATGTATCCAAGGTCAGCCTTTGTTCCTAGATCTGTGATTTCTAGAAGGCGCATACGGCATGTGCACATCATATTATGTGATTTATTTTGCTTTAAAAAAAATTAGTAATACTTCTGTTAAGTGTCCATATGAAAATGCATAATGGAAATTCATCTCATGTCCACCAGTGGGGTTGATCGGTTTAGACGACAATTTGCCCATCTTGAGGCACACTACAGTAAAGGTGAAAGTAGCACTGCACTTCAAAGGAAGCATGCTTCGTTACCAAGGTAAAATTGGTTTTTTCTTTGGATTCTACTCGTTTTTTATTTTATCATCTTTATTCATGAGATTGATGGCTTTCCATTCTTTTGCACAGGGAACGAGTATGCATGTCCCAGGATGAGGCTGCGGAGCAAAATGGTAATGCTAAAAAGAGTGCTACAGCTTCAGTGGGTCGTGCAGCTATTCACAGCCCTCCAAGGTCCAAGGGGTTTGAAGTAGCAGAATCTGTTTGTGAAAATGGATCAACCATACCGAATGGCCTCAGTAAGCCAAACTATAGTCCCAACAGTCTGTTGAAGAGTGCTAGCATTAGTGCCTCTAAGTGCGTGGCTGCAAACGGACAGTACTGTGAGGTAAGGGTTCCTAGATTTTTCAGTATGTTCGGCACCTCTCAGTTTTCATAGTACTATCTGTAAGTACTCTGTGCTTGTATAACCCGGCAGGAAGATAGAACGGCAGAACGAAATGACGAGATGATCAATGTCGTTTCATAGAGGATAGCAGCAGCAGCATGTCACTGGTATTATACTACTGTTAAGATAGCCTACAAGGGCATGGCTTCATTTTGTTGCTGGGCCTAAAGCCACATTGTGGATTTGTGGATAATTTATGACATTTACCACCGAATGTTGGTTGTTCTTTTTGGCTTAAGGCGAGAAGGCATATACCACTCACTTTGTCTGTTATACTCTTTGTAAACCTTTATCATGATTTGTTCTTAAACCTATATTATTTTATATCTGAGAGCGGTTAACTACCTCGACTTTGCTTCATCCTATGCATTCTCAGTTTTACACCATTTCCTTTCTCAAGGAAAGTAACATAATTTGATTGGACTTGCTGGCATTTGGCTAACATGCTAAACATAGAACATGTTAATAAGTTTAAGAAACTAACACAAGCAGCTATAGATTCTGAACAATGATTTGGAGAGCACATGATTGGACTTGCTGGCATTTGGCTAACATGCTAAACATAGAACATGTTAATAAGTTTAAGAAACTAACACAAGCAGCTATATATTCTGAACAATGATTTGGAGAGCACTAGAACATGTTAATAAGTTTAAGAAACTAACACAAGCAGCTATAGATTCTGAACAATGATTTGGAGAGCACAAATAGCCATTATTCATCAATGCACTCTCATTCAACAAACGATAGGAAAGAATAACAGAAAACAGAAATCTATAGAGTTTTTGGTGCCCCATGATGAAAACCAAGTAATATAACAACAAAGTTTATCAAAGTTCAGACATCGCACATTCATCTGCTAGTACATCCTCGCATTTCTATGGTTGGCATCATATTTACTTCAAATATCACCACGGGCAACTTTAAGTTTCAAGAGATAAGGTATGAGATTTTCAACTCATAATCTGGAAACCAACAGGAAATATATCTTCTATCCACTTCCATCAAGCTGTCCATGAGATAGAAGGTGTGCCATGTATTGCTGCAAACAAGTTAATAAAAATGAACAAGTTAAAGAACACTCTACGAATGAACTTTCTATGCAACCCAATAAACATGAGATGCTGAAAGCAGATGGATACTCGGAAGACACTAATCAGATGTATAACCATGTACTCCGAAGAGCACAAAACACCAACAACAGAAACTGTGTGCATCAACATAGCAAATGATACAAGAAAAACAGAATATCGAACTGTAATTAGCAATTCAAATTTCATGAAAAAACAAACCATACCCTCATTCAAAGAAACAAAAGCAAGCAAATGCAATCCAAACTATTCACTTGGGAAAGTGAGCTATAATTGATTAAGTAAAGTTGAGTAACTTACGGCATGGTACGCATAGGGTGTTTTACCCTGTCGCTCAAAGTGTTTGGCCATGATACAATACTCAATGGGACCCCATTCTTCGTTTTCGAAACAATTACCAAGCGCAGCTTTATACAACTAGCAAAACCCCAAGAATTCAAGTATCATATCGAAGACGAAACAAATACGAATCAAATCAAACATATTGAAAACTTAAAAAGTATAAGCCTTTCATGTTCTGATAATCAGAGTTCTCACGTACCTTTGCTGTGTCCGTCAAGAGCTCGGTTCCAGCTGGGTAAGACGCATAGAATTGGTCGCCTCTGGAAAACCCAGCTCTGGTTCTGCAACACCAAACACAACAACGGAAAAAACCATGGATGGAAAATGTTAAGAACAGCATGGGGTTCAAAGCCCAGATAAGTGTTTCCATTTCATATGCGTTTAAGGTTGTAAGTGACTCACGTATTGCTTGTGTAAGCGTAGCTCAAGACTGCTGTGAAGCAGTAGAATCCAGCATATGACACAATTCGCCTGAACTTCTGAATCTTTAGAATTTCTTTGACGCCATCGTACAGCCTCATCATGATTTGTGACTATAAATTGAGTACTTGAAAGCCAAAACGTTTGGGCAATTTCAGCTAGACAGTTGATCAAACAGGTGGTGTGGCTTTCGGGCGTCGCTGGAACATCGGGCATATGGAAAAATGGGGAAATATTAAAGAAACTTGGGCTTAGCCCACGTGTGTTTCTTTCCAGGGTTCAAACCCACCTGGGCCTAGACCAGTTCCCAAATTACTGCGAATGTTTATGTGTAAAAGAAGAAGAAAAGTTAGGAAATAAAAAAGTAAGGCTTAATTACGTAAAAGTACCCAATCTTTGAAAAATTAATACCCAACTTTAAAAATCTTGCACGTAAATACCTAAACTCACAGAAATATACAAATTACTGTTATTAAAATATTACAATAAGACACGTGAGTTAGAAGAACATCCTCCCATTCTACTAATTAGTCTGTTTGTCTTCTTGTACTTAGATTCGAATTATCCTCCTATAAATTATAGAATGGTTCTAAATAATTTAGACTACAGTTTCTATCAAAAAATAAAAAATATTGCAACGCGTTAAGCCCGATGTAGCTAGTCCTAATACTAATATATTGGGCATGACATTGACAATAATGTATCACATACAGATGTGATATCACGGCTCTAATGGAGTCAACGACCCCCAAACTCCTCTTGAAGCTTATTCTCCTCCTCTCCGTTTCTGGGTTCTTATTGTTTCAACTGCTCCCTCTAGCCTTCCTTCTTCACATCCCACCCTTATCATCACCAGCCTCCATTATTAATTCTAATCCAAGCTCTCTATTTCCCAAAGAAGCTTATCCCACCAAGTCAGGCTACCTCCCAGTCAATTCCACCACAGCTTCTTCTATTTTCTACACTTTTTATGAAGCTCAGAGCCTCCTCTTACCCGATCTCTCACAAACCCCACTCATCATTTGGCTCCAAGGTGGCCCTGGCTGCTCCTCCTTGTTTGGTAACTTCATGGAGATGGGTCCTTGGCACGTCAACCTTCACAATCATCATAATCATCGTCAGCTACCATCTTTTGTGCTCGAACCCAACCCCGGTGCTTGGAACAGAGTTTTTGGCCTTCTTTTCCTTGACAATCCAATAGGAAGCGGATTTAGCATCGCCTCAGAAGCTGAAGAAATCCCAAGAGACCAACTTGCAATTGCCAAACACCTCTACATTGCCATCACCAAGTTTATTGAACTTGACCCAATATTGTTCAAATCTCGTCCTGTTTATATTGCAGGCGAGAGCTATGCTGGCAAGTTTGTGCCAGCAATTGGGTACTATATATTGAAGAAGAATGATGAGTTAATGATGCCTGATCATGATCATGATCAGTCTCAGATTTTAATTCATTTAGGTGGTGTTGCTATTGGAAACGGGTTGATAGACCCAGTGACTCAAGTGGCCACTCATGCTGACAATGCTTACTTCTCAGGCTTGATCAATGAGAGGCAGAGGATTGAATTGGAGTGGCATCAGCAGGAGGCAATCAGGCTGGCCAAAATGAGGCATTGGAGACAGGCAACAACTGCAAGACATCAGGTGGTGGATATGTTGCGTTACATGACAGGGCTGCCCACTCTGTACGACTATTCAAAGAAAGCTCCTTATCACAAAACCCAATGGGTTACTGACTTTTTGCACAATCAAAGGGTCAAGAAAGTTTTGGGGGTGAAGGAATCAGCTGTGTTTAGAAACTGTAGCCATGTGGTGAAGGTTGCATTGTATGAAGACAATATGAAGAGTGTGAAATACATGGTGGAATTGTTGGTGAAGAGGAGCAAGGTTTTGTTGTACCAGGGGCAGTTTGACTTGTGGGATGGTGTATATTCGACTGAGGCTTGGGTGAAGACCTTGCAATGGGAGGAGATTGGAAATTTTCTATCGGCGGATCGAAAGGTTTGGAAAGTGAATGGGGATGAGCTTTCTGGGTATGTGCAGAAATGGGAGAGTTTGAGCCATGTTGTGATTTCAAGGGCAGGGCATCTTGTGCCTGCTGATCAGCCATTGAATTCTCAGGCAATGATAGAAGGCTGGATTTTGGAAACAGGGTTGTTTAGCAATGTGCAATCTTGGTTTCCCTGATGGATGATATATTATTGTAAAAATTCAGAGGTTATTATAGTACGCTTGCTCAAATATTTCTGGCCAAATGTACATGAGAAGTTGAGGAATTTTTAGTAAATAATCACCTCAGTTTTATTTATGGATCTTCATTAAGCAATTAAATTAAAATCCCAGCTAATAACCACAACAAATGGATGGAGCCCAAGGAAAATTCTATGTTAATTTGTATTTTGTACAGTTGTACGGTACAACTTGTAACCAAACGATGATTAACTTGTTGAGGAGGATCAGAATCCAAAGCAACGTTAACTACTAAAGAACAACATACGATATATATTTGTTTGGCATCATGTATTTTGAAGATACCCAAGCATTACAAAAACACAATATTCGTTTTACTGTTCTCACTAGTCGCCACGTGTGATGTAGACCTACTCATTTATATGATTAATCCGTCGGTGTGTCTCAACACTACTACTCTTCAATCATCAATGGAGTCAACAAAGCTCCTCATCCTCTTCTTCTTCTTCCTCCACCTCATCACAGCTTCATCATCATCACAACCTCTGTTCCCCAAACAAGCTCATCCCACCAAATCAGGCTACCTCCCAGTCAATCTCACCACAGGCTCTGCAATTTTCTACACTTTCTATGAAGCTCAGAACCTCACAATCTCACCCAATCTCTCTCAAACCCCACTGCTCATTTGGCTCCAAGGCGGCCCTGGTTGCTCCTCCATGATCGGCAACTTCTTCGAGCTCGGCCCATGGCGTGTAAATTTTAACAAACACCCTTCTGAGCCCCTCGCTCTGGAGCCCAATTCTGGTTCCTGGAACCGAATCTTTGGCCTGGTGTTTCTTGACAATCCAATTGGAACTGGATTCAGTATAGCTGCGAAGCCAGAAGAGATCCCAAGAGACCAGCTTTCAGTTGCCAGAGACCTCTTTGTTGCAATTACCAAGTTTATTGAGCTTGACCCTGTGTTTAAGTCACGGCCTCTTTACATAACCGGTGAGAGCTATGCAGGCAAGTATGTTCCGGCTATTGGATACTACATTTTGAAGAGGAATGCTGAGTTGGCAGCTGGGTCCCAAGGTGTGAATTTAGGTGGGGTTGCTATTGGGGATGGGCTCACAGACCCAGGGATTCAGGTGGCTACCCATGCTGTGAATGCTTACTTCTCTGGTTTGATCAATGAGAGGCAGAGAAGTGAGTTGGAGAAGCTTCAGGTGGAAGCAGTTGGGTTCACTAAAGCAGGCAATTGGAGTGAGGCCACAGATGCAAGAAACAGAGTCTTGAATTTGTTGCAAAACATGACTGGGTTGGCCACTCTGTATGATTACACAAAGAACGTTCCTTACAAAGACTGGTTGGTTGAGGATTTTTTGAGGCATGAGGAGGTGAAGAAGGCATTGGGGGTTAATGGGTCGTTTGTTTTTGAGGAATGCAGTGATTTGGTGGGGGAGATTTTGCATGAAGATGTGATGAAGAGTGTGAAATACATGGTGGAATATTTGGTGAAGAAGAGCAAGGTCTTGTTGTACCAGGGGCAGTTTGATTTGAGAGATGGTGTGGTTTCCACTGAGGCTTGGGTGAAGACCATAAAATGGGAGGGGATTGACAAGTTTCTGTCCGCGGACCGGAAAGTTTGGAAGGTGAGAAGAGAGGTTGCTGGGTATGTTCAGAAATGGGGGAGCTTGAGCCATGTTTTGGTTTCAGGGGCTGGTCATCTTTTGCCTGCTGACCAGCCATTGAGAGCACAAGTAATGATAGAAGATTGGGTTTTGGACAAAGGGTTGTTTGGCAATGCGAGGGAAGTTAATTTGTCATCAAATTTCGTGCTGTGAAGTTGCTCCTTTTATCGTTTAAAAGTTGTATTACTTCTCTCGATGAAGATGTTCTTTTCAGGGGAAGCGTTCAGGTTTAAGCTATAATGAATAAATTCCTAAACCATATTTAGGATGAGTTCTGCAAAATGTGATTTACCGGATTATGAAAGTCTCCAGCGGCCAAAATGTGATTAATTTGCTATCCATTTCTCACTGTACATTTCATGATTATGATTATGATTATGAAAACACAAAACAATTCTCGGGCAATAATTTGACTAACATAGTATACTTTTTATATAATAAAGAAAAAAAAGAGAGAGACTTGTGAAATGGTTGGGGAAAGTGTAATGGCTATTGGAGGCGGGTTTGTGAGAAGAGAAAATGGGAGGGTGAAAGGAACCTTGGGGCTCATTTGGGTCAAGACCCTCATAAGCAACCAAAGCTCCAAGCTTCACAACAATCCATTAAGCACATAACCCGTACTATGATGCCATTGTCTCCCACAGTATAATAATCTGTGCAAGACTTCATGTACAGGGCTTCAATGGCAGGGGACCCTGTAGAAAACCTACAAGTAAATCAGAGCCACTGATTCATACGCTTGAAAACAAGCATATTGCTGCTCTGCCCTTTGCCTCAGCCCTTGCTATATTGAAATTGTTCCGATCTGGGAACTGGGGAAAGTGAGAAAATTGCGAGAAGGAAGATATGAACTAAACCTAAATGTTGCCAACGCGCGGCGACCTCTCTGTCGAAACCCTAATTAAGCAATTGAAGCATATCAGTGTATTTATAGTCACCCAAAAGGGCCAAAGATTATGACTGACGAATTTGGATTGGGCCCAACCCAAAAACTTAGACTCGATCGGGCCAGATTACTGTCTCTCAAAGTGAGCCCAATAAAAGCCAATTGGACCTGTTCGCGAACCATACTGAAAATAGTGATTATTTTTTTTTGGTAAATGAAAATAGTGATTATTGATTTTCCTTCAAATAATATTCTTGAAAATAATTAGTAGATTTGTTTAGAAAATAATTTTTTCACTTCAAAAAAGAAAAAATAAAGAGTTTTATGTTTTTTAATTTTAGAAACAAGCATATTTTTCTATTTTGATTGAAAAGTGTAAAAGAAATTAAATATTTGGATATGATATTGGTTTATTGTTGAATATTGAGGAAAGAATTTTAAAAGAAAAAGAATATCCCGGACATAGGAATAGGAACGAGGGATATTTAGACGACAAAGAACGAAAAAGAAAAAAGAAAAAGGAACAGACTTTGTCACTGAAGCTCCTTCGAACGTTTCTGGGTTTTTGATTTTCAGGGCTCTGTTTGAAGCATTGGTCAATAGGTACGTTGCCAACTTCCCTTTCTGTACCGTATAAAATAGACGCTACGATTTGTCCATTTCATGCGCTCACTACCAGTTCCAAGATATATTCTGAATTTTTTTTTAAATATTAGGAAACAGGTGGTGGTTTAAATGAACTAGATTAATGGCTAGGTTTGCTTTTCGCTACTGCTTGTTAAGAGTTCGGTTTCTTTGAATTAACCTTTGGGCTCGCCTATAGCATTCTTATTGATATTCGCCATTTCATTGCTCTGAGTAGCCGGTGCATTAATTTTTAGAAAGTCTGACACTTTGTAATATTTTGTTGTATATGTTTTCTCAACCTTGTGCAGGTTTGATGTTTTTCTCTGTTTAGGCATGTCCAGTTCATGCAGTAAGTTTGTTGCACATGGCAGTGGCAGTTTCAGTTGTGCAATCAGTACGTACTTAACTTCCTCTTCTTCTTTTTTCTCACATCTTTGATTATCGGCCGAACCAGCCTTAAGTTTATGCTAACTTTCAATTTAAAAGGGGTAACATATGTTATAGTTACTTACACCAATAGACAACCCACCTTTCATTATTGAGTTGTTTTGGACTTTCTCAGATGTTTAATATGATATACGATTTAAATTTTTAATTTAAATTTTGATGGTTAATGTTTTTGAAGTTTCCCATACAATATATATACACTAAAGACCAACTTTAAGTTTGGAACTTCCAATAGAGTTTTTTCTCTATTGTGCCGTGTCAGAGTTGAGAATTCACATAAAACTTCTAATAAGTTTCTGGACTTATTATTATGAAAAGAAAATAACTACAATATACTTCTTTTTTATATAAAACATCATAAAATTTTCAGCAGTACCCGAGATTTAAGAGAGTTGCAGAGTACCAATGCATAAAGTCGGAAAAATGGCCAAGACAAACAAAATGCCTGCAGTTTTGGGCTTAAAAAATGGGATAATATGCTAGTGTCTATGTGCAATGAGATGGAGTTTGAGTAGGAAAAGGGAGTGTGAGTATATGTGGGTTGAGAGTGATTGGAAATTGGAAACTAATATTTTATTAAATCTATTTGAAACCATCGTGGTATAGTCTACTTTTATTGTATGATGATCTACAAAGAGAGTTCTCTTTGTAATATAGATATATATGATGAACTGTTTAACCCTTACATATGAGCTTAGTAATACACCAACAATGAAGTTTCCATCTCAGTGTTTCAGTGGGAATGGATTGAGAAGTGCAATAGCTTTTGAAGCTGAGAAGGGATATCGGAATGCTTTGGGTAGAAAAATGAGGTCTGTAGATTATTTGCAATTTGATTTGATCTGAAAGTATGAGAATTAATAATGTGGGCATGGCTATTTCAAATTGCAGGTTCAGTAATTTTGTCTTTTCCAAGATATCGAAATTATGTTTTCGATCAAAGCATACTTTTGTTAAAGATGTTTTGAAGGAAGCAGATAGTTATGGCATAGCAAGCATCTCTGATCGGTCAAAGTTGCTCAATAAGGTAGATTTGTGTATATACAAGTTTAATATTGGTTAATTCAGCAAAAAAGAATAATCAGTGGTACTGTTTGTTGTTTGATTGCTGAAACTTTATCTAATGTGCATGTACTCTGACAAATGGAATGTATTGTTGCCTTTCTAAAATCTAGTCCTCATATTTTGCTGTTTCATTTTCTTTTAGGTTTCTGTTTTGATGGGTTACGATAGTCTTCATAATTTGATTGTGAATGAAAGAGCTGAAAAGCAGTCTGGTATGTATGTTAAAGATGCAGTGGATGAGTTTGATGTCTCCATGGCATGTAGAAGATTTCCGTCGATCATTTTGAGCAGTTCCCCTCGGGTAGAGTTGTATGATGGAACCACAAGTTTCACTGAAAGGATGCTTTTAGAAA